ATTTGAATATTTCAAATAATTGACCAATTATGAAGTGGCAAAAATAAATAATAAGAAATGCTATATTAAATGAATAAAGTCACGATTACGCTCGCAGCTCCGGCTTATTTAAAGCACCAAAAATTATGAATAAAGTACTTTACGCAGAAAGTTGGGTACCCCTTTTAATTACGGGTAGACGCAAAAGTTCACCCGGCCACTGAATCGATTTTGTTTGTATAATTTGGATAGTAAATGATTTTATTCAAATTATGTCGTGTCGGTTATAAAATTTGTCAATACAGCGCGTTCATACCCTCATCTAAGCGTCTAAGGCGGACATTTGTAAAGCGACTTTAACTTTATATTCGGTCTTTAATTTGGGTTTTTCAGGAGAACACTTTATAAAATTCAACGTTAGGTATAAACGAAACCGATGGCTCGTTTGATTGTGATTGGTTAACGTTACGACGTCTGTGATTGGTCTAGGCAGTCGAGGGGACGTTCAAGTATTACGTAAGCACTATAGGGCGGTGGGGGGATTTCTTTGATTTTCCTATTTGGTGATTACGTCAACAGTAATTATTTATTTGTCCATTGTCCATGCTTGGAAACGAAATGCATTTTCGAGGCTTCCTACAAAAATTTAATACGTTTATGTACTACTGTTGCTTACAAGAGGGGGGGATAAATTGCAGTAAATATGGTTACGTAATACTTGAACGGCCCCCGACCAATCACAATCAAGTAGTGTATCGCCCGTTTTATATTCTCTATTCTTATTGCGAGTGTGTAAACGCGCTGCGGATTATGTAAATAATTTAAAATCATGACATGTTCATTATTGTTTCGTTATTGTTTTTTATTCGTAGATATTTTTATTAATGTACTTTAAGGAATTAAATGTATATTTTTAAGTGAAAATATCCATGTTGTTGATTAGTGTTATGGATGTTGATTTTCACCATTTGTTATGCAGTGATAATAAATGGTATATTAACGATTGTCTTTGTTTTATCTATCCATTCAGTACCATACCTCATTCAATGATAAAGATCGAAAGATTGGAAGCTGGTTAAGATTCCGGGTCAAGACTTAGTGGAACAATAACTTCTGTATGTCAAATCCAATCGTTTTTAACATATGAACGGCGCTCAATGCGACTTATATGATAAATATACCCAGAAAGGGAATATAAATAAGAGGTGCTTGATATGATGAGAGCTCTTATAAAATGAGAGGGGCCGTAATAAATTTATTTTCTATCAAAATGTGTAAAAACCCTCCTAGGTCCGGGTCTACCGCGTTATAGGAAATCGCGTTGCAGGAGTATTCTCGTAAAACCGTTGTATTTTAAAATTAAAAAACTAGGAACACGAATTTAATAAAGTTAGTTTTACTTCATAACACAATTGTAGCAGATGCAAAGGTACGCAAAACTAATTATGGATTTGAGAAATCATTATAAATTTCACACTATAGAAATATAACATGATAAATCTCCGCGTTATATGGGCGCAAATTAATAATATATAATGATGATAATGATTATATTGTTAAGATTCATATTTAAATAACTAAGTATTTGTGATCACAAAACTGGGAACTTCAATACTCTAAAATTATATGAGACCGTATAGCAGTCATTACCTGTTTTAAAAACATGGGATATTTAATTAATTTTCTTTATTATTTATACAACTTAAATCCTTTTATGAATATAGGAGCGCGAATGTAAGTGCGTGCTCATATTTCACAATGCCTCCTGCTGATAGAGGACAAATCTTTGTTTTTATTTATTTTATTATTATTTATTACTTAAGATGTCATGTGGAACATGGTGTAATGGTTGCAGCTCCTTACAAACTTTATGTTAAACAAAAAACTTGGCGATTAAAAAGAGTGGCGGGGAGTTTATTGCCAGTTCTTCTCTTCCGTTCTACGCCTGGAGTAAATTTAAAATTAGAAGCATTAAATATGTATACCTTTTTTGACGTTCATAAGTGTACATTGTGTTACCTACATGAATAAATGTTTTTAACTTTTAAGTGTCAGCTGCCATTGTAATTATAATTTAATAACATCTAAGTCATATTAGTTCGAAACCGTTAATACGAATGGTTTATTTAATTTGTCAATGTTGCTAGATCTGTAAATTAACGACTACTCAATAGTCGATAATAATAATGACTATGGAGTCATATTATTATTATTAAAAGTAAGTTATCATCATTTTAAATATTAGAAACTTAATGACGAATCTATGGAATTAGGTACGCACTGTTTCCAAGGGAAATTGCTTGCTCCAAAGATTTTTTAAGATTTTAATGTCGCCGTGTAGTTTAGAAGGAGGACATGGCCTCTAAAACTGACCATAATTTGAAGTCTAAAGTGTTGAGCTCTGGACTAGATGAGGGCCAGTCTTCAGCTCTTATAAAGTCCGGATCGTTGGTTTCAAGCCAGGCTTGGGTTGTTCATGCCTTGGGACCAGGTGTAGAATCCTGATATATTTTTAAAGAGTAAATTGCTTAGAGGTGTTACAACATGATCCAAGACTGTATCTTGATACACTTCGGCTGTAGTTTTCACTCTTTTTTTAAAAAAAAAGTTTTGTGGCACCTTGATAAGACACGCCCCACCAAACGATCACTGACGCAGGATGATGACGTTGTACCTTTCCGACCATTTGAGCAGCTTCTTTAGAACTGTGAGCGTACACTTTATCATTTTTCTTATTGAAGTATTCTTCAATCGTGAAAATATTTTCATCGGTTAAAAGGAAATTTCTGTGTTTTTTTCACCTGCGTATCGCGACAGAAGGCGTTTTGATCGATCCACTCTCTTTAATTGTAAAGACTGATTTAGGGCATGTTCTGTATATAAACGATAAGCACCGAGCTTCAGGTCTTGTTTTATAATAAGAGTCCTAGCGGAAACTTAATTTCTCACTATAAGATTTTTTGCCTCCTAATGGGGTTTCGATGAATTCTGGCTTTAACAGCATTAACCACCTTTGTAGTTCTAACAGCACGCTGTCGCCCGATCTTTTCTGGTCTTCAACAGACGAAGTGTTGTTGTATCCGTTATGGTACGATATCCGAACATACGGCTGATATCTACTTTGTGCAAGGCGATCACTGCAATCCTACTTTCTTTAACACCTCATTCCATATTGTAATTTGATAGTAAACACGAAAAAATATGTGAAATGGCGCAACATCGAAAAAAGTTTTTAAAATAATATACGTGTTCCAAATTCAAAATAATTGATAAGTTGAAAAAGAAAAGATTTTATGTAACATTACTTATGGCCAGACTATAATTAAGATATATAATTTTAATGACATTTCATAGTCCTCACAATATTCGTAGCCTTGCGCGGTACAAAAACTAAACAATTAACTCACTGGTGCCACTGGTTAAATCGGAGTTAAAGTTATTCTGAGCAGTGTTGGCCTAGTGGCTTCAGCGTGCGACTTTCATACCCGAGGTCGTAGGTTCGATCCCCGGCTGTGCACCAATGGACATTCTTTCTATGTGCGCATTTAACATTTGCTCGAACGGTGAAGGAATACATCGTGAGGAAACCGACATGTTTAAGACCAAAAAAGTCGACGGCGTGTGTCAGGCACTGGAGGCTGATCACCTACTTGCCTATTAGATTTAAAAATGATCATGAAACAGATTCAGAAATCTGAGGCCAAGACCTAGAGGTTGTAGCGCCACTGATTTATTTTATTTTAAATATCATATTCATAACCATGCAAAGTGGTGAGGTTAATTAAATAAAAGACTTTTATAATTAATAAAATACAGTCAAAACCGTTTATAACGACATCGTTTACAACGACCTATCGGTTATTACAACCAGATTGTATGGTCCCGTCCGAATCCCTAGTAAACTATTCAGTAAAGAAACCGCTTATAACAACATCGGATACAGCGACATATCGCTTACAACGACGAAAGTTTATCGATATTCATCGGATATAACGACCAACCGCTTCTTGTCTCAGTAAAACAAAACAATACAAACGATTTTAAATTTTATTTATAAGCATTGAATGAATATTTAGGCATATTATTACCTAGGCACTTTCTCCCAACGAACAGTTTCAGCCAACAACGATTTCCGAGGCTCTTAACGCTGTAATGATTTTGCAAAAATTTGTTGCCTTTAACGAACAGTTTGATACTGGTGATACTCATACCTTGAGGAGTATGAAACGTAAAATGCAAAAAATATTTGAGACTGGGCTACAAAAAAAACAGACTGACTGATTACTTTTGTACCTAATTATTTCGTAATAAATATTTTTGTTTCTTTTTTGACTCGTTTACATATTATAATATTAACATACCATATTATAACCCATACCTACCTATTCTAGATCGATAACTATGTACATACATATGTACTGTACTTGTGTATATGACATTGCTTATAACGACTATCGGATATAACGTCGGCAACTATACGGTCCCTTCAATGTCGTTATAACCGGTTTTGACTGTATATATTTTATTTAAAATATCACTCATTTTAATATTAAACTTATATAATTAAAAAAATTTTAAGGGCGTACTGTTTTTTTAATATTATTATACAAATAATAATAATTAACTTGTCCTTATATTTAAAGAAAAAACTGTTTGACCGGATTGAAGTTATGTATTATTATAAATTTACAACTATTTAACCTAATTTTAAATTTTGCCAAAACCCTCCATCTTTTAGTCGATACCAACTCCGGGGTAATAAATACAGATAAGGCAACTTTCTCTACAGCTGTGATACTTTTTGACATCCAACACCTTTTGTCTTCAGTCACCCTGACCACGCACGCTGTAAAGCACGCGAAACGTCGGATAAATTTAAAATTATGTTAAATAGTTGTAAATTTATAATAATACATAACTTCAATCCGGTCAAACAGTTTTTTCTTTAAATGTGTAAAGGTTATGTAAATCAAAGACAATACTATGTCCTTATATATAAAAGGTTATTTCTATTGGCATTTTCATATTTCTTGGTGTTTTCCAAACGTCGTGAGAAACCAATCGGGTAGAATTGGGTCATCTTCATGCGCATAGTTAATGCATTGAACGCACTTGTTTGGCACAAGCTCAAACATCAAACTCGTTAATGGCACACTTTTTAGATCGAAATCTTTGTCGCCATATTTACGTCTCATTTCTCGGTTGAAACATCTTTTCACATACACAAAGAACGTATCCAAAAAGTTGAAGCAAACATTTGGGTCCCAATATTCCTAGAAATAAATATTAATTAAACATTATGCATTTCTTTTTTTGATGAAGTGAAAAGCGATGCGTGGAACCTTCCCTCAACCACGTGGTCATGCGTTCTAATCACGGACCAAAGGACTTTTCTGTGTGCACTCATTCAGTGAGGAAAAAGGGTATCCTCACGTTTTTCTAGATCTAAAATCACAGAGACTGATCACCTACTTGCCTATTAAGAAAAAGAAATATCACATAACAGCCAATGTTTGACGGCTCATTGGTCTAGTGGTTAGTACCCCTGACTGCGAATCCATGGGTCCCGGGTTCGATCCCCGGCTGAGACGAACATCGATGTGATGAGCATTTGTTGTGCTTAGGTCTTGGGTGTTTAAATATGTATTTATATTTCTATCTGTCTATAATATGTATGTATATCCGTTGCCTAGTACCCATAACACGAGCTTCACCAGCTTAGCATGGGACTAGGTCAATTGGTGTGAATTGTCTAATCAAAAAAAAAAAATGTTTTCCTATACTTTATGAGAACAAAGTACACGAAAATACTTTATATCGGAAGATGTGATTTCTTTATTTAAGGTAATGTTTAAAACAAATGTTCTTTCTTTGTAAAGCTTTTCAACTGTTTAGTCAAGATACTAATTTAATACTAAAAAAAGCAATAAAAAATACAAATTCAAATATAATAGAGTATTAAGAAAAATTTTGCATTTTTACATAAAAATGTACTTTAATTTAAAAAAAAGGTGGCAACCCTAATTGTGAGTGTTCATGTCATATACTTAAACTTACCTTTGACATTTTTGGGAGATCTTTAACATTGATAGTTTGTAAATTCTCAACAATACCATTATCATTCCTAAAACCACACAATATTGTATCTATTCCAACAAGAAATGATTGGCACCACCATTTTCTGGTCTTATACCGTCTGTAGGATAATAAACATCATTATAAAATATTGGTTGTTTGTAAAGTAGGTTTACGATCGAGATGTTTACGTGATAACGTCTTATTGGTGATATAAGTTTTTGGGAAGTAAGGAATTAATGAAGATAACAATTTTTTCAAATTTTATATTACATCTATCGTTTTATTCACACTTTTGATGATAAATTTCGGGTGTAAAATGACAAGTTTACTTATTCGACTATGATATACATTTTTCTTCATACATTCACGGAATGACTGGCAGCGCTCGAGATGAGACGGGAGATCGGTCCGTCTCTCTCACGTTATACCTGCGATCGCGCTCGTGAGGTTTTGGTGTGACACAAGTTTCTGAACATGTCACCCGACTAAAACGATTTTAAAGACGTTATCACGTCAAAAACTGACTGCTTATTGGTGGATAGTGGGACTTCATACACATTGGTTCTGATTTATAGTTGGAACTTAGCACACACTGTAACATCTGTACTGTCCGTGTTTTACAGGAGTCATAATTTGCACCAAGGTATAAATTTGAATCGGACCAGTAGTAGCAACATTTAAATATTTATATTATACTAGCGGATCTGACAGACATTGTCCTGCATGATATTTCAAGCGATTATCATATTAAGCAAAATATGAAGGTACCAGTCGGTACGGCAGCACCATTTGACGGGCTGATTTGTTAATCTAAACCATCCAGGGCTCCACCCAAACCCAAACGCATACAAAAAATAACAATCAAATAGATCCAGCCATTTAAGAGTTACACATGTACAGTAGAATTATATATATATATGTAAGCTATCCTATCTTTTAAGTTAGATCAAACTGCTCACGGTGTGAAAATTTGATGGAAATCGGTTAAGTAGTTTAGGAGTCCATAGCGGACAAACAACGCGACGCGTAATTTATACATATTAAGATTATACCTTACCTATAACTTCTTTGTTGATGAGGAAATTCTAAATGTCGATTTGTTTTAAGCTCTATGAATTCTTTGTCTTGTAAATAATGTAAGACATCATCAACTGTCTTAGGCGCTTCGGGAACTTCTTTTTTATCACATCGAATACCATCCATTTCAGCTCCATATATAATTTTATGACTGTTTAGCGTTGTCTTAAAAACACATGAAAACTCCTCCATTTCATTATTAGGCACATTTGGATTTGGTTTTACATGGGGTTTATCTACAAAAATTTACAATACATTTTTAATTTTAATACGAAAAAGTATGATATGATATTTGAATTTTTTACAGTGATATAATAGTTTCATTAAATATTGTTTTCTTGTAGTGATCAGTCCGATATGTAGCTCACACATATATTGCAAGTGATTGTAATCTTAGTGATAAATCATACCAGACAGAATATACTGTTCAAACTTGAATCCCCAAGATGTAAATAATTTATCCCTTTCATTCATATATTTTTTCTTTAACTTCTTGACTTCTGTGTCTCGTGCACATAAATATATATTTCCCTTAAATAATAACGCCACAATAATCCAAGGGTCATTTTCATAAGGCGAGTTGGCGACGCAGGTCATTAAGCCCCGATAGCAAAATATTGTAGCAGAATCGAGCTTGTTTGGAGTTCTAAAATTCAATCGTTTCTCATTGTTGGACAAGAACTGAATTAAGTCATTCAACTTTACATCATGTTCAGGTGGTTTCCTTTGCGCTTCTTCTACTAGTAAATTAAGATCGAAATTTACGGTTGTATTAGAAATCTTTCTTGCATATTTAAGGTTTTCTAATCCTATATAACCTATAATTTCTGGGCGGCCGAATTTTGGAAAGTTTTTAGCATAAATGCTAGGATTGGTAAGCAGCTCTGGTTGTGAATTCATTTTTAAGATGCCATACTTTTTCAAATTTCACTACAATAATATTTTTTACTGTTTTTAACTGTTATTTTAATAAATTATTGCTCATCAATAAAAACAAACACAGGTGAACTAGGAGACATTGCAATTTACAAACATAAACAATGCAACCATCTCCTTAATCCTTTATAATGTAATAAAATGTACTCTTATGCATGCAACAGATGACCAAAGGTATAGGATACGCTGTAATCTGTATAATACCACAGATGAATTCTAGACAGTAGACTAGTAGATAGATAATATACCTCATATAATACGTGAAGAAAACATACAAATAAAAGTGAATAAGTAATAATAATAAATAAATAATAACCACTCTCACGTACGTGGATACTACAGTATCCAAAAAAATAATGGCGGCATCCGTACATGGATACTACAGTATCCAAAACGACAAGTTTAAGAAAATGACATCTAGTTGAAACTGAGGTTAGAAATAAACGTTTTTATCGACGTAGAATGATAGCTTAGGAAACAGTTCACCCAATAAACTACAGATGGCAATGAAATATGATTAGTTCTCTGTAAAAAAAATTCCAAACTCAATTGACTCGTTCTTGTGAATTTTGGGAACAAGTGTTTCGGAGTTTCAGCAATTATGTCGTAAGTACTTTAGTTTTATATTATATTTCTTTAATTATCATACATCAAAATAAACTTGAATATTTGTACTTTACGGTTATGATAAGATTATATAGTTTTAAATGCTAAATTGAGTTTAATTTCAACTTTAAAATAATTTTGTCAAGGGCAAAATGGCTTCTTAGAAGTTGTTGGCTGATTTTGATGATTTGTTTACGTCTGTTTAGTGAATTAATAGTTAAAAATGAATGTAGAGTCCTTCATAAGCATATTCATGCCTTTTCCAAATAGAAATACATTAAGATGATTTAAGATTCCCAAATAATATTGAGGTGTTCCACAGGTTTATCGTTATGGACAGTGCGGTATCCACGGACGTTAGAACAAACGTCATAAATAAGGGTTTGTAGAAACGAAAAAATATGTTTGCAATTTTTTGTTACGCATGGTGTAATGTGTTTATTTATGTCTCCTGATTATGATATGATGATGATGGCCGTGGCAGTCGTGGAGACCGCGGGGGACGTGGAAACAGTGGAGAAACGGTGGATTATCATTTACAACTCGAAATCTTATCAAAAATGTCTCATTAAAATTTACAACACTGTTATTCTGTTTTTCATTTAAAAAGAAAGATTGAAACAAATCGAACATACCCTATTTTTTAGTTAGTTAAAAAACTACATGGTGTGTGGGAGACCTTAGATAGGCGGCCATCTTGGCACAAAAAAGTCATAGCGCGCGACTCAAGAGGCTATGGTAAAATTACGAGAAGTGGTTGTTTTGTTTTGATTTATTAGCTTACTCAATGTTGATTAAATATAAACATCTTGGCATCTTTTGAAAGGATAATTAGTCTAGTTTTTTGTAAAATTATTCTTATTTCGAAATCGTTTATATTTTTTGCGTAAGGCCTAAATCTATAAAAAATTTAAGCATTTTTGCTCAGACTCAAATGTTTTACCCCGTTTTAAGTACTAATTTATTAACATTTTCCAATTATTACAAAATGTGTTTTAATCTATATACTTCAACCTATGATGTAGTATTTTTTTCATAGTTGTAGTTAATATATTTCAACAGATATAATGGTTATAGTTGCGATGTAGCGGGCGCGATGCGCGCGGGTCAAAGACGCGCGAGTAGCTGTACGGTTGACGTGAAAACAGTCGCGCGGCCTGTACGTGAGAGAGGATAATAAAGGTACATATTATTAAGTATTTATTTGTCATTTTTAGTTTTTACAATTGACAATTGACATTTTTTTGTTTATTGCTTAAATACCGGCCACCAGGGGGTCTAGCCAAGATGGCTTAACAGTAGTGTATGTAGAAAGTCGAAAACTAAATTTGTATGAAAATGACAGCTCGTGTCGACAGTCGGTAGCCTAGGCCCTAAAGGCGTGAGTCGGGATACAATAAGCGACGCCATGACAGTGCTACGAAAAGACACACATTAACGCTTACGCTATTCGGTAGCCAACGGCCAATTAATGTTTCGGCAGTGTAGAAAAAACGGCGTTTCTCCGCCATGTTTTAGCGTGATCTCAAAAGCTGCTGTTTGCAATAATTCAGTACAACTATCGCCATCTTTAATGGCTACCGTTTTAAAAACATGTCATATATTGGACATTTTAACGAAATGGTTTTAATTTGTTATCTGTCTTTTTTTAACGTTCTCGTGTAATTATAATAATTTAAACTAGAGTCAATATTTTTAAGTTAAGAGTTTTAGTTTTTCTATGAATCAATGCGAGGATAACATAATAGACACAGATAAATATGAAAATATCAAGAAAATCAGCAAATTAGTAGAGGTAAATCCTAGTTATATTGGATATCTTTTATTTTTCTTTAATTTGAAAAATACATATACCATTTAATATTGCTTATATTATGTAATCACAAAGTAAAATGATTGTAATGATATTTGTATATTTCAGATGAGAAAGCAGTCACTAATGAACATTATTAGAAGTTCTAAATATATTTTATTGTAATTATAATAGAAGCTAATGATATAATATTGATTTAAATTAATCAAATAAAGTGGATTTTTACTTCATGAACTTTGGAAATATAAAATATAGTGAGCAATACTAAGTACTTAATGGTAAGCAGATATTTTCTTTAATTATTTACTAAGTTAATATACTAGAGAAGTTATTATAATATTGTTAATGAATGAGAAGTTTTAATTCAAGTCCTTTGGGAGTTACTGACATTGTTTGGTTATTAAAAACTTTAATTGACAATAAGCAGCAAAGTGACAAATTAAGTATATTTTTAAGTTTAGAATGAAGTAAAGACTTTTAATATTAAAGTTACCTATTGATCAAAGTACTAACTAAAATATTTTATTTTCAGAAAAAGACAACTAAAAGTATTAAAAAAAACCACAAATGGACAAGTTTTATTAAAGTCTTATCTTTTAATTAATTAAAGTGTTATATTATGTACCTGAAAATGAATTTGATAATGGGGAACGAAGCATTTTATGAATAATGTAAAAAATAAGACAAGTGGAGTATGAAATAATGGTTGGTTAAGTAACATTACCTCAAGAACAGGAAACAGTAACTGAAACTATGTTCTTCCACATTTAATCTTAATAAGTTCAGCAGTTTGAATGTTAATGAGATATTATTATAAACAAACTGCATTTGTAGATTTTGGGAAGAATTATATCTTTACAATAACTATTATTATTTACAATTGTTGTGTTAAGGAAACAATCACTATTTTTTTAATCGCCCAGGATGTATTCATAGTAACTGTAGGTATCATAGTAATTTTATGAAATCATCACAACATCTAACGTTAGGTTTTATGAATTGAACAATTTTTTGTATATAACAGCACACAAACAAGATATTGACATTGCTGCAAATTAACACTTACATTAGTTAATTATCTACATATATGAATACATCATTAGGTAGTAATGCATTTAATTTGGTGCACCTGCGTGTGTTCAGTAGTAATGTCTGTATTGTTTAATAAGTTGTTACATATGCTTATTTTTCTATGTAGACTGCATTATGTTAAGGAAGATATTTGGTGCCTTATTTTAATAAAAAATAACCATAACTGAAACATTTTTATTTTGCTACCTGTTTGTTTAATATTCCTAACTATTAGTAGGTATGGGTAATTCATATATGCATTATCTGTATATTCTTGTAAAATAAACTAATATTGTGAACCACTTTAATGGCTTTTCCTACTAAAGAAGACATAGGTAAATTACCAAAAATAAAACTGACAAATACATAACATACAATGTTTATTCATTTCTTACTTAAACAGATTTTGCATTTACATATTAACTAGTAGCAAATCACTGATATAACCAAAAGTTAATTGACATAAATATTAACTTAAAATCAGCATCAAACTTAAATTTATATCTATTATATCTAAGATGTTGGAGCATCAATATGGAATCAAAGGTTGATTAAGGGTTATAATTTCATACCAGACTAAGTTTCTATTTTATAATTTTTATTAATTCCTCTTTTCATTTCATTGAGTAGGTACTTGCTGTTTTTCAATTCTCACTTTCTAAAAGTATAAATATATTATAAACAATCAACTTTTATGACTCTAACTTAAACTGAAATTGTTTGTTGGACATAAACAGAGATAATTCCAACTAGTAGCAAATCACTAATAAAATCTACACTTATATATAAATCTGCTTTCAAATTGACATTAAAAATGTTCAAGCACAAACACCAAACCTAATTAAAGCTTAAATCAAACTCTAATTTCAGTGATCACACTAGTCTACGTTTTTTTTCCTATTGTTTTTTAATTCCTTGGACTTTATCAACTTCTAGTCAACCTTATTTCCACTTTTTATTTATCAATCCACAGTACTATTTTTATTGTTTCTTCTAAGCGGTAACAAAATATGTTGCTTCTTCATTTTGTAGATTAGTTGTGAGGTCAAATCCTAAAAATATCAAAGTATGAGTACTACTAATTATTATATATCGCGATTATGCAATTTCAAAATATTGTATTTATTTGTAGCCTTAAATTTCTGAGAAAACATGAAACAAACCATAATTAATTTAAACATGCAATTAAAATTCATATATTCACTTTGCACCTTCCGTAAATTCCACTTAAATCGAAAATTGTTCCGACCTTGCTGACATTCTAATGTCCCTTTTGTAGCTTCCAATTGCAAATTTACAATAATATTGTAAAGTTTTAACTTTTATTTGTTTATAAAAGTGACATTAGGAATACATTTAATCCAGAGACAATATGACGGAATAAGGTGCTACGAACAGCAGCTCGCATCTACGCTGTCGACTTTGCGGTAATGTATCGACATGTCTCTTGGCTACGAACGAAGCGTTTTCGACAATACAATTACGCAAAAGCGGTAGTGTATGTAGAATACTTTTCGACACCAATATGGCTAGACCCCCAGGTCCGTGTGCACTGTGCGTTTGTGTTGGATTTTAATCATTTAAAATTAATATTAAGTGAAAATATGGATTTTACTCCGGAATTAGTAGCGTTACAAGGAGCCATATTGTCAGTTGATAATACGCATCCTTTTACAAAAATAACAGCTAGAGGAGGTAAACAAAAGTTTTTTTCACTTTCTATTTTTTTTTCAATTAAATGATTTGCACTATAAATATTTATCGCATTTTACAGGTAATGAAAAAAAACTTGAAGCCATCATAAATGCGTTACAAGAGTTTTTATCTGAAAAACAGTTTGACCAGAACCTGAATGAGATAAAAAGAGATCTTTTAAGAAAATTTGCATTCTATCTAGTGCTGAATGCAGATTTGGAAATCCTTCAAGAATTAGTTGAAATAGATGGAGTTGGTTCAGTTATATGGACAATACCTACAATCCCAAAGTGTTTACTAAATGAAATGTTATGGAAACTAAATATGAGAAGTTCTGTTGGTGAGATTATTATTTATTCCAATCCACAACTATCTCTACAACTGACAGAACTTTTAATAGATCACTTTAAATATTTTCATCCAACTCAGTGTTTAAAAAACCTTCAAGTGTTGGTTGCTGCATGTTATAAATTTATATACAGATTAATATTTTTCAATACCACAAGTATAGAATTAACACAAGCTGTTAACAATTTTCATACTTGCTTAAAATATTTTTATGAACCACCTAATTATAGAAAACTTGAAATGATTACGAAGGATGACAAATATAAGTATGTGGGTAATAATTTATACATATTATTTGATACAATTAATGACTGTTTCAGTGAATATGTTAAAACACAAACATTTAAGCTACCAGCTTCCTATTCAATTTATGAATTGTCATATAAAGAAGAATCTTTAAAAAATTTAGAGGCATATACTATAGACAACTGTTCTCATAAAGATGTTAAAGAAAGCATTGAAAACTGTAATATAGCATTATTGGACACTTGCAAAGAATTAGTTAAGGAAGTAAGTGTTGAAATTTATTGTGCTTGGAGTGAGTTTGAAGAAGATAACAAAAGTATGCAGGAGACAGTTGGAGAAATGTGCTATAAAGTGCAGAGTTTTTTACTAAATATCCCCACTGCTTGTGAACATCCTGTAATCTCTATGTTAGAGCAAATATCTTGTAAACCTGTAGACTGTGTACAAATTATTAACGAAATAGACAATGAAACCCTTGTTCATAATATAATTAATGATGATGATGATAATGATGAAAAAATTAAATGGATTAGAGCTACATTGTATCGTAATGATTTGTGCAAAGATACAATTCTTATTGAACAATTGATGTTAAATATATCAGTGTTAAATGAAGAGGAATGCAGTAAATTATTTAAAATATGCAAAGCTCACATAACAGATGCATTAGACGTTCATGAAAATGTAAAGTTATTATTGATAGACGCATTTCAACAGTGTAGTACAGAAAAGAAATTTGAGCTTCTAGATGAATATTTTAATGATAGCTTCAATGATAATTTAGTAACTCAAAATTTTAGTCAAATTATCATTGAAATATTTAATAAGTTAACTATGTCGTCAGACACAGATATGTCGGAAGTGCTTTGTGTATTCTTACAAAGTCCCAAACAAGTCTTTACCAAAGTTTTTCATGTGGCCGCTGAAAATAATCAACAAACTCAAATGATGGTGAATTTAATGGAATATTTGAAACAGTATACAAATAAATATTATACCAATGAAACAGAATGCTGTATTTTGACAGTCGCCAAGGAGTTGATGGAGAGTGATATGATGAAAGAAAAATTCTTAAATTACATAATGTTTTTGACTAAGCTAAAGTCTGCAGACATCATACCTGGTTCCAAGTTGTTTCTTTTAGTAATTATGCCATGTCTATACAATAGTCTGTTAAATAAAAACATAGTTGGAATTCACATGCAGTGTAAATTATTACTTCAAGCATATACATTGAATGAACTTGTTGAATATCGAGCTCCACTAATGGCAATGTTGGGCCAAGTATTGGAAACAGTTAGATGGAAAATTACAACGTTTCATACAATGTCACCCCTCACACTGCATTATGGAATTGAGTTACTTTCATCCATACTGGATACATATTCTCAGCAGATACCAGGTATTTATGGTTAAATTATGAATGTATCTATACTAATACTATAGATATAATAATAATATTATTATTATTATTATATCTATACTAATACTAGCAGACCGGCCAAGCGTTGCTGTGGTTAAGTTTTTTGTTTTATTACATAATAGCACACTATTCAAGGGAAACGGTAGGAGAACACCAGTCATGGGGACCACCATGCTTTTTTGGTGGTTATATCATTAAATTGTAGCTTATGTGAAACGTTGGTACTTTCAACACAGCGCCATCTGTTAGAATTGTGACTATCATATAATAAACAAATATTTTGCATTAAATAATATTGCGGGTTTAAATTGAGATGTAAGCTATCCTATCTTTTAAGTTGGATCTAACTACACACGGTGTGCAAATTTGATTGATATCGGTTTGGTAGTTTAGGAGTCCATAGCGGACAAACAACGTGGCACGTAATTTATATATATTAAGATTATAAAGGAAACTTTTGTGTTTTTGTATGTATGTACGTAATGTTTTCACACAAAAACTTTGCGAATTATTGGACCGAGTACAAAAATTTCCCATAGTCCAGTCAGTCAAGACAATTAATTCATTATAATTCCAAAAGTTTTCAAATTTTGATGTAAGGTCGGGAGTGGTATTAAAACAAACTATAAAATTTTGCAACCTGCTCTGCGGTCCGGAACATTGTTAAAAATAAGTTTTGGTCGTGAAAAAAATTCCAAAAGTTCTGCAAACTTGGGGAAGTTTTCGGTATAATATTTCATATCACGTATAAAATTTGCAACCAACCTAAGTGTACGGAACATTTTTTGTTATTAAAAATTAATGTTTTTCTTTATTAAACTGAAGGAAAACGTTCCAAAAGTTCTGCAAATTTGACAGATATATCGAAAATAAAATGAATAACAAAAAATGTTCCGTACAATCCAAGGTGTGAAAAAAATATCCATAAAAATGATGATCGCGCGTTTTTTTAATTTTAAAAATTATTTTATTACCTGAAATCTAGAGTTTTTCAATACCTGTATTTTTAAACTTACTAATGTCTAACATTCTACGTAAGTGAAATAAAACATTTATGATAACAAAAATATATGTGTAGTCCGACTTCTTAGTAGACTTTCCACTACCACTAGATTGGTATCTACCGCGGGGCATTGATAGTATAATATAATTTTTATAATGTCTTAATGTCTTCAGATTATGTATGTATTTGTGTGTAATCTCTTAATAACGTCATTCGTTATTAAAAAAGAGTTAAATTGGTTGGGTTTATCACAAAACCCATACATTAATTTAATTATCTACTTGTGCCTAAACATCTTCCTTATTCTTATTAACATATGGTTAATTGTTAAATAAAGTAAAATAAAATACTGTAAGGGTGCGTGTACTTATGTACGCGCGTAAGAAGTTATACTTCTTTGGCATTATTAAAATAGGTTTTTGATTGCATGCAAATAATTAATTACAATTAAATAATCAAAGACAGGAGGTCAGGAGTCATTATAGTCAATAAAGTTCAGTTTACATTTGAAAAATTAAATAAATAAATATTTATTATTATTCTCTTACATTAAGCGTAACATAAATTCTATTATTATTTGAATGTTGTTTTTAAATTATGTCCAATGCCGTAACATCATCCGTGGGCAACTTCATTCTGTTAATTTTGTGTCACGGTGCGCGCGCATCGTAAAATTTCACTCTCATCAATTATTATTCATAACGCGCCTAAAGAAGTATAACTTCAAAACTAATTTAAAAATTAATATATTACTGATAAATCATAATAGCAGATCAATTACGACACAAAAATACTTTAACACACACAAATCTTTTATGTGTTGATACTTGATACACATTGCGCATTAAATATATTTATTATTTTTCAGAAAAAGAACAATATTGGTTAAAAGTAAAACTGAGGAACATAGACCCATTAAATTTGTACTATTTTAGACAATTATGGAATCCTCCTGGAGATACATTCCTTGAAGTTATCACGGGTGTGCATATTTATAAAGAAATGGATGTCGAACACCTCACTGCTAGGTTGTCAAAGGTATGTTTTTGAAGTTATACTTCTTTTGGCGCGTTAGGGTTTTTTTTTAATGGCTTGGCACGGTTTGTGCATTAGCCAGCGTCAAGTATAAGATTTTTATAATTCGTGCTTTTTGCCTTAGAAATTCGACCATGTCCTACATGTACGGTTTAGGCACTCGCCCGGTACCGCACAACCCTCCCAAAGGTCGAGAACAAATTTAAATTAAATTAAAACTTGCCCTCGAACCGGGAATCGAACCCGGTACCCCTCACCTAGCTGCCACTTAATAAGACCGCTAGGCTATGAGGCCCCTCGTAGGGGAAAATTATGAGAGTAAATTTTTACGATGCGCGCGAGTAAAGGAACGGCAACGGACTTTTGGTTTAAAAATAATTTATTTAAATCAACAGAGTGACAGCACTTAATTAAGAACTAAACAATAATCAACTTAATATCTATTTCTTCGTGCATTTATACATTCAGATTTACTTACTAAGTATTGGTCGTTGCTGACGCACGACCTACATTCGGCTTAGTGCTAGCAAAGCATATATTAATAGGGTTGGTACTCTTAACTCCTCCCTCCCTAAGAGAGAAATTATCCGAAGGGGCTAAAGGTGACTTCGGAGAATTTCTTTTATTGCAAATAGAAAACAATTTAAACTTTAATATTATAACAATTACTATTATTACTACTATAAAATAAAGAACTAATGTCCATACACTTATGTTATGTGTCACCACACTTTCCACCACTATTTCACTATTGCTATTTCTCACATTATTTAACATTTCTTTTACGTCACTGAAGTCCACGTTTGTCAAATCTAACTTTTTATCTGCCGTTGCTAAATCTTCCTGAAGTTCGGGAATCACCACCAGTGGCATCTGTATATTCACATCCGATACATTGCTTGATTGACCGAAGATTGTTCTGCCAATTTGCATGTTGCACCCTTGACTTGGCGTCACGATGTAAGTCCCCAGTAAACTGAATCGACGGACGTCGTTTCTGCAGTGTTCTGACAAAATTATTTTATCTGCTGTGAATATCAACCAGCTATTATTCATTATCTTCTGGATTTTTAGCTTCTCAATTCGTATTTGATGTTGATGACATAGGCTGTAATTATTCTTTATTAACATTAATTCCTCGATACATGTTTCCTCATTGTCTGTTGCCATATTTTCTTCTGAACATAAGTATTTGTTGTCTTCTATACTCTCGCAAGGGCTCAACACATTTCTGTATTTCAAACCATTCACCAAAAGGTAAGGATATTTAGGAATAATTGTGTAAGTTTTAGAGGATTTTGTTATAGGAATAGGAGTAACCTTGTAATAGTTATACGTTTCTGATTCTATCAAAGGAATTTCTAATACAAATACTAATTTATTCTTATCAATATAAGACTTTAATATAATATTACGTTCTAATTTAAGTAAGTTGTTTTTTGTTACTGGATAAATTGTTTGTGCATGTTTTTCTATCACTTTAAAAACACCTAATAACTCTGTAGAATTAATAATAGATTGGTGTAAGGTGTGCAATTTACTAAATGCAATAGCAGTTTCAATTTCTTGTATGCTCTCATAAATGTAACGAAAGTTATTTAGAATCTGGTATAAACTATTCATAGTACGAATGACATTACTAATTTTAATTTCTTTTTCGACAACTTTATCAAACTCATTTGTTTTAAAATGTAAATTTTCTATATTATGATTCATTATCTCGGATATATTGGCTAAAGTAGCAAATGCTTTGTGCATAGAAGATACTTTAATTTCCGTCAAGTGTTCTCTATTACTTATCTTACTAATTTCCTCATTAAATTTAACAGCATCTTCCTCATCTAAATTTCCAGTTATGACTTTTACTAAAGAACCCAAAGGACTAAAAATAGCACGCTTCCTCATACTATATGGAAGTAACTGGTGAAACTTATTTTCTACTATTTTAATTAATGTATCTATTTGAACTCTTATTACAACTAATTCCCTATCTAAGTGATTAACCATTATTAATTCATTTAATTTATTATATAGTTCTATATTATTGCTTATTTGTATACCTAAAGTTTTAATGTCTACTGTTTTAAAAACTGTCCAATAACTATTCTTCATTACTGCTACTCCAAATTTCATTGGGATGATTCCTGGATTCTGGTCCATCTTTCGAAGTTCCAGGCTGTGGACTTGGCTCTCTAGTATCAGGAGTACTAGCCATGACCTGGGGAGGACGTTTTATATTTTTAGCAGCTCTGGTTTTTCTTTTATTCAACTCTACCGGTACAATGTTATGATTCGATTTTCCCACTACTTTTGCTTTCTCATAACGCGGCATTTCTTTAGCTTTTCTTGTTCTAGTAGTTTTCATGAAAATAGTATCACCTTCTTTAATATTAGATATTTCTTCACCACCTCTCTTGTTCCTAACTTTAATCTTATCCTCTTTTAATTTGTCCGCGACATATTCGTAAAGAACTTTTAGACGTTTCCTATTTGACACTGAATTAGCGGTAGCACCGTCGTCTGATATTTCTACAAGTTCTATCGGTTTCTCACATTCTGTGTCAGAGATATCCATTCGATTTTCATTTTCTAAATCAAACAATGACATATCGGGCTGAGACCTAGGGTTTTTGTTCCTAACTATCACAAACTCGTCATTAAGTTCTTGTATTACTTGTTGAGGTCTTTCGTCATTATCGTCAATATTAACCAAAGTCGAGTCGAGGTCATCGTCAAGAGCATTAATTCTTATTCTAGACGATTCATTATTCTTATTCGGTATTGTTGTGGCTATCATAAAAAAATTTCTTATCTGATCATGGTTTGAACTAGTCGGGTTCGATTCACAGTCATATGAACAAGACGGTTGAATATTATCAATATTAGTATAATTAACGCGTCTTGAACTGGCTGTTCTCATCGTAATATCGGTATTGGAGGTCGATGGCATGGGCGATTCTTGGTATTGTAATCCATTGTTCGTAAAATGCCGACGCTGCTGTGACGACGACTGTTTTACTGGTGACCTAAATACCGTGTTATAATTGTTTCGATTATTTAATGTTCTATCATTTCTAAATAGGAAAGAATTATTATTTGAACTATTTTGATAATTGGATGCATTCGAGTTCATTTGGACGTTATGGGTTGGAGAATTAAAATTATTAACTTGTCTCGGATAAAAATTCCTATTTTGGAACGAATTAAAATTATTATAATTAGGTCTAAAATTTTGATTGGACCTTTGGTTCTTACTATCGTAAACCGTTTGAAAATTTTGTTCTTCCAACACGGTTTTTAAAGCATCTTCCAGCGTGGTAACATTACGTAATCTCACTAATCTTACAAGGTACGCTGGTAAATTAAATAAGAAAACGTTTAATGCCGAATTATTATATATCGCTTGTTTGGCCTGTCTTATTTCGGTGTTGTTAATGGTTTCATTTATTTTGGAGAATAAAATACTCCTTAAATGTTGAACACGATGACAGAAATCTAAATAACTTTCGTTCTTATCCTTTTTTAGGGAATCTAATTCCATAGCCAGACAATCTTCTGACCTTGGATCGCCAAAGTGTTGGCTTAATAATAACTTAAGGTTATCCCAAGTATCTATTTGTTCCCGTTCCCCAACTAGACTTGCGGCTTCCCCGGATAATCGACTAGTAATTACGTGAAATAGATATTCATTTTGTAAATTGCCACCTTGAAATATCTGTAAAATGTATTCGCATTTCTTAATGAATAATGGTAATAATCTAGAATCACCATCAAAAACAGGAATAATTTCTACCATTTCTACAGGTACTCTTACAATATTTTCCATTTTGAATATAAAAAAAAAAATTACCTATAAAATAATTGTATAAACCTAATTTCTATTAACAATATTTTGATTGTTTAATAAAAATATTTTTCCGGCGTTTTCCAATCCGAAATAAACGTTTAACTAATACAAGAGGAAAACAAGGAAAGTCACGGGAAGTGAAAAGTTTTACTCACAGTCCTGTTATCTTGACCATGCTCCTCCGGGATACTGCTAGTTCTTGGCTGCTCTTCCACCGATGCCGTGCTGTCCTTAACTTATTTATTTGTTCGGCGATCTCCGTTAAAACGTTAAAACGTACGTTAACCGGTTGGTACTAGATCACGAAAAAAACGCGGTATAACTTCTTCCAGGCAACTATGGAGATCCTACCGGCTGCGCCAGTAAAGGAACGGCAACGGACTTTTGGTTTAAAAATAATTTATTTAAATCAACAGAGTGACAGCACTTAATTAAGAACTAAACAATAATCAACTTAATATCTATTTCTTCGTGCATTTATACATTCAGATTTACTTACTAAGTATTGGTCGTTGCTGACGCACGACCTACATTCGGCTTAGTGCTAGCAAAGCATATATTAATAGGGTTGGTACTCTTAACTCGCGCACACCGTCAAAAAACCGACACCCTGAAGTAAGCAGTCAACATTTTAAAATAAAAAATGTCCATATCTTTAATTATGTAGAAATAAGTTTTTTGGGATATTTAAATATACTTTATTTAACTACATAATGCTTTATAATAAAACTTACAATGTATTAAATACTATTTCTATTGATTGTGTCGTTTTTTATTAATTATTTTAATTTAATATTAATGGTGTAATGGTTGCAGCTCCTTACAAACGTTGTGTAAAAAAAAAAAACACATGGCGATTAAAAAGAGTGGCGGAGAGTTTATTGCCAGTTCTTCTCTTCCGTTCTACGCCCTTGATTTGAGAACTGGCAGTAAATGTAAAATTAGAAGCATTAATATTTATTTCTTTAATGACGAATCACAAGTGTACATTGTGTTACCTACGTGAATAAATGATTTTTGAATGTCAAATTTAAGCGGTAAAATTAGATCTATAAATTAAAAAGTATTTGATAGTATTGATTGTTATAAAAAGTTATTCATTGTAACTTAAAATAAATTAATATTGAAGAAATTCGGCAATCGTTCTTATTTCTTGATTACGTCAATTGACAAACAAATAATTGGTAGTTGACTTTTTGACGGACCCTAAGCAACAAATTCAGACGTAGGACCTTTTTTCTTTCCATATTTTTTTTTTATGGCTCTGGCACGATTTGTGCATTAGCCAGTGTCAAGTATAGGATTTTTTATAATTCGTGCTTGTCTTTAGAAATTCGACCGTGTCCTTCATGTACGGTTTAGGCACTCGCCCGGTACCGCACAACCCTTCCAAAGGCCGAGAACAAATTTAAATTAAATTAAAATTTGCCCTCGAACCGGGAATCGAACCCGGTACCCCTCACCTAGCTGCCACTTAATAAGACCGCTAGGCTATGAGGCCCCTATATTTTTTTTTTTGTTATTTTTCTTTTTTGATTGTTATTATTTTGTGTTTCGTTAGTAATAAATGTTATGTTTTGTTAAAAAACTACAACATCTGTCAGACTTATTTGACTATGAAACATAATATTATCAAAGAAACGGATGCAATCTTACTGGATAGAAATAAAAATTTTTTTTTAAATTTGGCGTAAATATGTTGTAAATAAATAGAGGTTACAGCCTCGATATTGCCCTCGTAAAAAATTCTTAATTAATTATATTTTATAGGTATTGTGTTCAACTACACCGGAAGAGTGGAATCAAATTTGGAAAGATCTGGAAATATTTACAAAGCGACATTTATATAATATATTCCACGAAGCTGTGTTGTTAATCGCCATGGCGGAGAGCAAACACAGGACGGACGAAACATGGTCGTGTCTTATGTATTGTTTTGACAATTTTATTGAGATAACTCGGGTGAGTTTTTTCCTTATGCTTTTTTTGGTTGTCCATAATCTGTGGTGCTTTTTAGGGGATATAAGAATCCTTATTATTTTTACGATCAAGCAAGTTAAAATATCTCTAAAATTAATGTTATGTGGAAAACACTTTTTTTTTTTTAAATAGCTCTGGCACGGTTTGTGCATTAGCCAGCGTCAAGTATAAGATTTTTAATAATTCGTACTTGCCTTAGAACTTCGACCATGTCCTCCATGTACGGTTTGGGCACTCGCCTGGTACCGCACAATCCTCCCAAAGGCCGAGAACAAATTTAAATTAAAACTTGCTCTCGAACCGGGAATCGAACCCGGTACCCCTCACCTAGCTGCCACTTAATAAGACCGCTAGGCTATGAGGCCCCTATTATTTTTTCTTATTACTTATTGTAAATACCAACAGACTAAAAATAAAACTGCAATTTATTAACAAACATCATATTTTGTCTCTTTCTCTCAAATTGTGTTTACGCTGTCATAAAAAGAATGATATGAAAATATGACGAAAGAATGTTATTTTTATGAATAACCGGGTAAGGGAGCGTTCAAGTAACGTTAGGTTACTAGTACGTAGTACGTCACGCAATATTTGGAGATTCTTGACCCCCTTCCCCCACATAACGCGCCGTAACGTTTTCTGTACCCAATAGTGACCACCTACACCACCTCTTTATACCTTAAAAGTTACCATTATGTGGTGTAAAGTACTGGAAAGTCGAAAATAATATTAACAATAACGCGTAATTCAATCCCCCACCCCGCAACGTTTTACAAAAGGACCCCCTCCCCCCCAAAATTCGTTACGTAATACTTGAACGCTCCCTAAGTGTGTGACGGTACTCAATTTGACTACCTAACGTCGAAATGACTCGGCGTTGGTTCATTTACCTTGTCCATACATTTACTATAGTCAAATCCAATACTTTTTTAACATACGTAGCTGTGTCTTAACGCTCGGTCTATATCTTTGCCTCCTGTTCTATAAAAAAAAATCCAAAGTGACGCAGTTGTCTTTGACATGACAGTGCGCGAGACTTGGCGCGAACTGTGACAGGTCACCGGGAGTCAAAATACAGTAAATTTTTGCCGTACTATATCTTTTTTTTTTTTTCTCCATACCTTGTAGTAAAATGTTAACCTCTTGTATATATTATTAGATGTCTGTGTGTGTTGTCTTTATTGTGATGTCATTTTTGTTTTGGGTAACTCTGCTTAGATTAAATTCAATCTATCAAAATTATCAAATCTGTCCTCACTGTGTGAAGACTTAGAACGTTACATTGGCGGAATTGTGATTTACACAGATGTCGCCATTATAAATAAAGTGAATTGAGTGAATTGAATCTTATTTTTCAGATAAAACATTTTTCATGAATATTTATTGTTTCAGTGCCATTATTTGAAGAAAGAAATGGATGAAAATCAAATCAAGGATGTCGTGGAAAAATTAATTCTATTAGAAAATTTTGTCAGCGACGATATTGATGTATATTCAAGCAAAGTTTTGCCTATTTTCACTTATATGGCGGAAAATAATGATTATTCATCAATATGGAATTCGTTGAGTCACAAAATAAAAAACAAAACGTTTTCAGATTTTATTAATAAACATATTTTTGGTATTGATTAAATATTTTTTTATATAAAGTGTTTTCTCTCGAAATTTGTTTAGAAATTTTTGAAGGATTTTCCTTTCTTGCGAGTGAATCTACAATAATGTCCCAATTCTTTGCATTTTTGGCATAAATCACTCGCATGCTCCTTATCCTCCTGTTTAGATAGATCTGAATCTCTTAATTCTCTCTGAAAACAATATATTAAAAGTAATAAATAGAAGTTTAAAAAAAACACGCTTTTAAAGCACATCAAACTAAAAAGTGAAAAATAATTCCTAATTTAGGCTGAAAATGGTAATGAACAAAAAATACTGGTATTATTGTGAAAAAGCGTGGGTTGCTCTATAGACGAAAAATATGGCACAGTTTTTAGTTTTAAAACCGTGTTTTTAAAACTAAAAAAATTAAAATTTAAACTATTATTAATTTTTTAGTTAAATTTATTTTATTATTTTCGGATTATTGCATTGTCCATGACAATGCATCATCTTTGACAGGTGCGCAAAATTTGAATAAAATCTGTCCGTTTAAAGTGGGTCAAAAACGAGTCCGAAGGAGTCGGTTACATACATACATACAGGTGAAGCTAATATAAAGCATGTAAAAAAAATATATTACGTATATGTTTTTATTTTATTGATATAATTCAAGGGACCGTTCAAGTATTACGTAAGCACTATGGGGAGAGGGTCTTTGATGTTCTTATTTGGTGATTACGTTAACAGTAATTATAAAACTAGCTAAATACTTGGGCATACACGTGGACAAAAGTTTAACATGGCAATACCACGATGACATGTCCTTGATTTTTAAAATCAAACGACAATAACAAATTTTGACGATGTGAACAATGCTCTATCTTCGATTGTCCATTGGTTTAGTATGAATAACCTTCTACTTAATGCAAAAAAAACAAAATGCATTAAATTTTTTGCAAAAAATGCAAGGGTTATGGATACTAGACCAATTATAAACGGTGAGGAATTGAATCTGGATGATACAACTGTATCTTTCTCAACTTTCTCGGAATCACCATGGATTCAAAACTTCAGTGGTCCCCTCATATTAACGGATTGGCGAAGAGACTTAGTTCTGCAGCCTACGCGGTTAAAAAAATTCGCTCACTAACTGATGTCGATACATCTAGACTTGTTTATTTTAGTTACTTTCATAGCTTAATAACTTATGGCTTATTATTATGGGGTCATGCTGCTGATGTCGAAACTATTTTCATCCTGCAGAAGAGGGCTATTCGTGCAATCTATAATTTTAAATGTAGGGAATCTCTTAGAGAAAAATTCATATAAAATCCAAGAAAGAGCATGCTAATAATAGGTACGCTTCGTAACATGAACTGGATATTACGTAGAAAAGCCTCACTCAGTCTGGAAAATGAGCTCCTCGTTTACAAAACTCATAAAACCAATGTGGTCCTCTGGAATGCAGGTCTGGGGGTCAGCAAGCCGCTCTAATATCGAAATCCTACAGCTCGAAACAAAACAATGCGAAATATGAGCCGTGGTAAACACGAAATGCTGAAGTCGATAAATATTACGGAAATACTACTGTCGCACTGTGATTTGGCATTCTGATAAACAATAAACTACAAGCTCCCATCTTATCACAATGCCAAATCGTAAAAAATTACTGCTTCACGACTGATTTGAGCGCGACCGCCGCTGCGAAAACCGCTGTGCGAGTTCGAAAAGTGAGTTACAGAATCGCAAAGCTGGGCCGATATCTTTATCTGTTTCATAGGTGATCAGCCTCCTGTGCCTGATATGCCCTCGAATTTTAGGGTCTAAGACTAGCCGGTTTTCTCACGATGTTTTCCATCACCGTTCGAGTGAATGTTAACTGCGCACATGTTGTGTGTGGCAGAATATGCCAACTTACGATTGTACCACCCTTAGGCCCTTTCTCCACTGCTCCGGTCCGGCGTCGGATACCGGAATTAGTCATGAGAAAAATATCGGAAGGCCGGATTGCGCTTCTCCACTATATCCGTACCGACAATAATCGATACTTGTATATTTATCATGCAACACTTATATTAACTAAAACTCATATACTTAATTTTATTATAATCTTCCTTATAAATAGTTCACTAATACTATGGTATAAAAATATAAATAAATAGCAACATAATTTGGTTTGGTTCAGGTTATCCAGATTCTTTCAAATTAAAGAAACTATAAATAAACCTGTGAATAATAACCTCTTGGATATACTTGGACCGATGAAAAACCGCGTCCCGATCTAGCAAGTTATCGGATCGTTAAAAACCGGATGCCGGAGTAGTGGAGAAGCACGTAAGTACTGTTGCGAGTTTCTAAATCGGATCGGTAATTTACGTTTGCCGGACCGGAGCAGTGGAGAAACGGCCTAACAGAACAACCGAACAATACTTCAGCACCACGTCAACCCTTGCTTCGGGCCTCTTGGAAACGGCGGACTGCGTGTTGAGAAGGGCGAAACATGCCGCAGTTTGATAGTTACGGAGGGAAATCAAGTCAAAAAATCATTTATGTAGGTAACACAATGTACACTTATGAACGTCAAAAAAGAAATATACATTTAATGATTCTAATTTCACATTTACTGCCAGTTCGCAAATCAAGGGCGTGGAACGGAAGAGAAGAACTGGCAATAAACTCTCCGCCCCTCTTTTTAATCGCCAAGTTTTTTGTTTACACAACTTTTGTAAGGAGCTGCAACCATTACACCATGTTCCACATGACATCTAGTTATAAATAATAATAAAATAAAATAAAAACTAAAAGATTCGTCCTCTATCAGCAGTTATTGGATTTGCATTCCCTAATTGCCTCAAAATCATGTCATAAAATCTGATAAAAGGCAAGATTGCAGATGGTTAAAATAAAAAACAAAATATATAATTTGATTTTATGATTAATAAATAATCGATGTTTCTTAAAAAAATAATCGATTTTTTCCTTATTTTAGAATTGATTTCAAAATAAACACCTTAAATATTTTATTTCATGATGGTTTCATTAATTTAAAATAAACTATAGAAATTATAACCTCAAACTAAAGTTTAAGAATAATCGAAATTGAAATTAATCTAATCTAGTTTTTATAGATTTTAGGTGAAATTTGATAGATGTGGAGTGTATGCCTTTTTAGTAGCACATTGCAGTATTTTTGTTGTCTTTTAATTGTGTTGCTGAATTAATTTATTTTACTTTAAATTATAGTGTTAAATTCAAACTTAAGTTTGTGAAATTAACTGATATTATCATCCCTCCGATGTTTTATAAAAAACATCAATGCATCGAGATCAATACTTTTTCAAACACCGGATCTATTCAATATATCGCATTGTAAACATCGATGTATGTATATCACATATCCCTAACAGTGGAGGTGGAGATGAAAAATCTAATAATTTGATTGATTTTCAATTATAAAAATAATCGATCATTTATATATTATTTTCAATATTAAAATCGCGTACAAAAAACAGATTTTCACGTCTACAAAATCGATTTTAATCGATTGTTTCTTCACATCCCTACTGGACAGTCCTTTTATTTAATTATAAGTACCAATGAAATAACGCGATTAAAACCGCGGTTAACTAAGATGATGATGATTGGGCGAGATACGAGATGGGACTAAAAAAAGTGTCATCATTTGATCTTTCGTTTTAAATTCTCACAACAGCGTTTCTTAACATTGATGAATCCGCAATGCGTAAATTATGGATGTAATGATATTGTTGGCACTGCTAGCATTCTGATAATGCTGACAACTTACGTAATATAATACGTTATTTATATTACCTACATATATACCAGTTCAATGACACTTGAGCTTGACAAGTGCTGAGTGTAGCGGTGTTCCTAGAAAAGCGGTGCCGTTAACTAAGCAATGAAAGGGTAAGCTTCAGAATAGTGGCGTAACTATACCATCTGGGGCCCGTGGCAAATCTTCTTTATGGCAATTTTTTATGGGCCCTATCAATATAAATCGTCACGTTGTACTCAGTTTAATTTTAAAAACGTATGTGTCCCACTAATGGACATCTTGTCTTAGGCGAGAGGGAATGGTCTGTAGTCACCACGCTAGCCCAATGCGTATTGGAGACTTCACATTCACCCATAGAACATAATAACTCTTGGGCAGGGGCCCTTTTGGGACGGGGCCCGTGGAATTTTGCCAGCCCTGCCACCCTATTACGCCACTGCTTCCGAAACGAGACTTGGCGTTAAGACTACCTCCCGTACGAGAAATATATGAGTTTGACATACAGAAGTCATAGTTTGTATAAGTCTCACAAAAAACATTTTAACGCCTGCTGAGCGCTTAGAGTTTTTTCTCAATAGAGATTCTGTTATGTTTTCATATGAGATTTAAATAGCCAATGTTCCGTCACCAATTACAATTTGAAGGAATAATTTTTTGTTATGCAAATTTCATTAATTTAAACTACATAAATGTGGCCGTTCAATTATTCAAAGACCCCTTCTTTGACTTTCTTATTTATACTTTTCATGACTATTTCATTTTTATTCAAGACTTAACAATCGAATTAATGTCTATTGTCTGGCAAATTAATTTTAAGTTTTTCTTATCTTTAAATAACATGGTATTAGAATTACAGAGATTATGAAATACATACTTTGAAATTTTTATTAAAAAAAAAATCATCGCGTATGGCATTGTTAGCATTGTCATAAAAGTCTGGCAATAAAAAAAGTACTTATGTCAGGTAGACTTATTTAAAAACAAAAAAAATAAAAATTAGGCTTTTTAAAATGTTTTTAAAATCCAGGATTATTACCTGGACAGGTAGGATGCGCACTAACAAACGCAACCGCTACCGCCAGCCAGATTGCCAAGACTCTAATCGAAAGTGCAAGAAGGAGGACATATCACAAGATCAGCTGACCTAAAATTCTTACTTTTCAAACGTTGCTAGCTCCCGTACGACCAAAATTCAAAAATCATTTATTCATATAGGTAACAAAATGTACACTTATGAACG